GGAAATAGGCACCCAACTGTAAAAATTAGTTAGTTGTCCGTTCCATGTACGTTTCCGGTGGATAGATCTTTTGAGAGATCCGTCATTGCGTCTGCTGAGGCACACATCAAGAAACGGAATATTTAGTTCAGATTCCTTTCTTATGGTGAATTGTAAAGAAGGGTGAGAGTTGTTGAAAGCAAACAAGACATCATCAAGAACTACGTTATTATCGCAGATGACGAAAGTGTCGTCTACGTATCTTTTATAAGTGTCAAAATGACCGATGGTTTGACTAAGTTGAGAATTTTCCAGCTTTGCCATAGAACAGTCAGCCAGCAATGGACACAGTGGTGATCCCATGGCAACGCCATCTGTCTGTCTATAGATCTCATTGTTGAAGGTGAACTGAAAATTCGACACACATCTCAATAAAATCTCTTTGAGGTGGATTGTCGGTTAACCTATTTCTAAACTATGTGTATCAATATAATCACATAAATAGCTAACAGTTTCCATGAGAGGAACATTGGTAAATAGCGACGTCACATCTAATGAGAACATGACTTTGTCTGAGACATTAAAATCTTTAATGCTATCAATAAATTTAAACGTATCATCAATGGAAAACTTAAATACTTGCCTTCTGACTGTTTTCAGTATTTCGGCTAGCAATTGAGAGATTCCATCATAAGGAGAGCCGGCCATATTGAGGATTGGACGAAGGGGTAATCCTGTCTTATGTATTTCCGGTAGTCCATACAAATGTGGTATAATGGAACCTACTGGTCGGATGCGTTCATATATTTCTGATGAGATTGCTGACTTATTCCTCATGTGCTTTAAAACATCAGTCAGTTGATTTTCATTTAGAAAGTTTTCAGTTGAAAGTTCAGGCATAACGTAACTTCTCAGAGATATGTTCCTGTTTAATTCTACCACACGAAAACTGATTTGTTTGAATTCACTGATCAACAATTAGCTCATGAATTCTGAAAATGCCATTTCGAAGTCAAGTTACTTTGACAAAACTTGCCCGTTCCCTACTACTACGTGAACTTTTCAATTTTGTGAATAAGCAACGGTATAGCATTATTTATTAACACTGCTCAAAAAAATGTTGTCTCGATCTTACACAGTGTAGAGTCAGTGAAGTAGATGAAAGAGAACAAGACAAATGTTTCGTTCCATTTCGGGAAGTCACAACAGTTGGCGTGCACAGCCTGACCATGGACTGGAACAAGAAAAAATTCCGGTTACGATAATAGTAGATTTATACTTCATCAAACAGATAAAAATGCATAAACATTTTACCACCTGAAGTTTTGCTATATGCAGTCAAAGTTATTTGTTCAGCTTGGTTCTCTGCGTTGAGATGGTTATTGAATGAGGCCCCCTGATACATCAGTGTGTCCCATGTTTCATATTCAAGTATTAGTATTAATGGCTTCTGCACACTAATTAAATATTGTGGGACGTGTTCCGTTTTCTACTGTGAATACTTGATCAGTGCTTTGAAATTGTTCTTGATAAATGATTCCTGAGACTTGCATTTCACTTCGTTCATACAGAGGTAAATGCTATAGGAATAAAACTTGGGAACTGTGGTACAGTATAATTCGATTATCGTTAAAATTTTCTTCGAAGGAATGTGTGCAATGTTCCTTCGAAGAATATGTGCAACAAGTCACTCATTAAAATTTGTTTTGATAAAGCCTCATAGTGTTATAGAGTAATGTTTACTGATGACGTTTCGAGCAGAATTTATTGCTCATAATCATGTCAAGGTAACCACATATGCTTTGTCTTCTCCAATTATTTTCAAAGTTATTCTAAATCATCGCGTTCATAGGTATGTCACCAATACCAAGATGAAGTTAGCAGTAATTTTTTTACTTAAGGACACCCATCTCACATTTCCAGTCACAACTTCAAATACGACTATGTTTGAAAGGTATCCGAACGAACAAGCAATGCTTTCCATCCAGAGTGACACGTATTCCTGCTTCTTGGTCAGAAGTCACATTGATGAATGCTCTATCATCTACTTTTATACAGAGCTGTTATTTTAAACTAACCGATAATCTGGCCACTTACTCTCGTGAACTTAAGTGTATACTTCATTGGAAATTTCACCATATTTCAAGTGCAAACTTAAGACCTTTAGATGGGATATATGATTCGCCCAAAAACATAAATTACGTAAATTATTGAGAATTTTCCAAAGTTATGTTAATTTAACAACAATATTGCTTCAACTAAGACAATATAATGTGACTTGACTTGTTGCAAAACATATTCTCGAAAATTGATGAATATTTTGGTAGGAACATATATCATATTTATGCATATGTATCATATATCATATTGGCGTTTAGCTGGACAAAACAAATAGCGTGTCACTTAGGATTATATTAGTGATGGCCTCATTCTGTACATTGTGTTTACACATCTTCCATTTACTTCAAAATCTTCAAAGTAATATGTTGGAATTCACTGTAAAACAGACGTCAGTAGAGATCGCTATTCATATGCGCAAATGAATGATTAAAATAAAATGAAAATGAACGTAATATGATACAATTTAATGGAATGAGTGTGAGGTAGCTGACTGACTAAAGAAAGCTGATGAAACGTAATTAAAATAAGCTGATCAATTAAGGCCTGTTTTGGACAAATAGCTGCCTAAAGCGATTTGTTGTCAAATTACTGTCAGAAATCTTCTTTTAACTGCTTCGTCTCCAAATGTAACCGAGATTTGGGAGATGGATTTTTCAAAGTTCATCTTTAAAAATGTCATTACATAACAGTCAGCATAAAAGGAACCGTCAAATCCCACTATGGCAAACAAGCAATAAATCATAAGGAGCGAATATTGAAAATACTGTAATTCTGTTATATTCCGTCTAAAATATTTACCTTTAACTCACGGGAGCAGATTAATTCAATAACGATCCAGTTTCAAATCTTGTAAGAACGTATATTTCCATGGCGAGACAGTACCGCAAAGATTCATTTTAAGAGCATTCTAACTGGAAACATTTCAATTTCTATCAACTCCTTCGTAAGCACTTTCTTCTTTTCAGCTAATGACCACCTAAGATTGTTTTCTGGAACTCCAGTCAACAACTACGCCTCAGTCCTTCTAATATGCTTCGTTTAGCCTTCCCCAATAGCCATTTGAACTGAATTAGTTTTGATATCACATATTTACACTTATAATAACTAGCATCATTTTTGGGAATTCATATATCTTCCAGAGTACGTAATTCCATTATTAATTTTCTTTTGATTTTATTATTAGTGATATTTCACCTACTTCTGATATGACGTCGCGTCATTCCTCTTGCATAATTTAGGTTTAGATTCGATGAACAAAGATTCAGTTATCAAATTCTCTCTCCACCTGCCAATAAGATTCTTAGAACTGTAGCTTTAATCCACCGTATTATGTGACTGTTTGTTAATGCAAGCAGTGCGATGGTTACGTTTTTCTACACACTGTTTATCTTCATGCATTCAGTCTTTTACCAGGGAATTTAATTCTTATATTCGAGACTACTAGTCTGACCAACTTTGGAGAACTCAAAATTATTGCAAGGTGTTTTGTAGATAACTTTATTTAGTCTAATTCAGTCAATAGGGTGCCTCAGTTTAGAGAATTTGTAGGTTTGAATGTCAGCATGACCTCTGCCTACGCAATGATCGTGATTAGGGTTTCACATGTTCAATCATTATATATTAACAATATAATTTCCTCCCATTCATTCTTGTTCATGTTTCATACACCAACTGAAAGAATTTGGAAAATGATTCATAAGTACACAAGCGATGCATATAAGATGAAGAAATCAGTGAACGCAAAGGGTAGCAAAAATAAAAACATACTTCGTTTGGTAAATCTTTGTTTACAGTAATCAATAAAAGTCTGCAGTCATTACTATCACCTTAGTAGCTGAACGAAGGAACACTGGATCAAACAAAAACTCTATGTTACCTTGTTATGTAGGTCAATGAGTTTGGCGGTAATTATTCGTAACACATCATTCAGTTTACAACTAAGCATTTTTGAATATACGCAGTTTGTTACATTCATGGCCACTTTTATATTAACACACACTTGTACGGTTTCATAAGCATTGTATTCACACCGATACCTCCATACATTGTGTTTGATTGAGAGGATGGGATTCTGTGGTCGGCACTGATCATTCTAAATAATTAGTGCTATATTATAGGTGATTCTAGTCATTAAATTTATAATCAGATGATGCCACGTTCAATAAAATGGAGGTGACGTGCAGGATATGCTTCAAATTCATATTCTTTGTCAATAAAACTAAGCTATATCAGTTTTCTGAAAAAGAAGCAGTCGATTATGCAGTCTGAGAAGGAAGTGAAACGTTCAAATTAATCGTTACACTTGAAGAAACATATCAGCGACACATGTCTGTCTCGATTCATAACAGTATCACGCAAGTGTCTATAACACTCTTATGATCATATATATTCTTTTACTAAATAAAAAGTTATAACGAATTGTTTCAATTTATTCATCTTGTTTATTATACTTCATATTTCTGAAGTCCATATTATGGTTTTCAAGCGAAGAGATCTATGGTTCACCGTCAGGAAACTACGCTGGCGAATTTGAGTTTCCGTAGAAACTTCAAAGGGACATTTGCTCATCTGACTAGCGCAACAAGAGTTGGGAGGTGATGTAGTTTATAATCTTTCGATGATCACAGGTAAATGTCAGGCAACAGTTAGGGAAATTTAGAGGTATGCAACAACATGCTTTGAGACCAAATTACCATCAAGTGATAGAACAACAGCTGTCTACCACCTGAATATATCTGTGGTAAACTATTTTTGTTTCTGTATCACTGGTATTGTTATAATTCACTTTTAGATGTCCATTTGTGACTTATTAAAGCAGGCAATCCTTCATAATATAGAAAATCTACTCTGAGATTTTATTTATTAGCATTATTCTTACAATTTGTTCAAAGATCGCATCATAAATAAATAAAAAAGGTATTTTTACACTCGTCTTTTATCAATAAATCGCAATGAGGTTTCAGTTCAATATGCTACTTCTTAGTTTACACTACTCTTAAGAAACACTGAATTAGGTATGAAGAAAACACTTATGCTTCATAGTTGACTTTTGGAACGCTCCAATCTTTTAAAGATTTAATGTTTAAATCCTTTGTTAGATAGTCAAACAGTCAGTTAGTTATTCCCTTATATTTCTTTCACGTAAGTGTAATAGTATTTGTGATGTATTTTGAATATTTTAAAATTTTACTAATTTCATCAGTAATTATTCTGTTGTTCTCACTCTGTTCTTCAATGTTAGGTTTATAACTGCTTATCATAGTTTCTAATACTTTGGTGGAGATTATAAGTTTTCAATTTTTACTGATAATCAAGGGATTCGTAGTGTGGAAGTCTAGCACATCATTTCATTAGCTACAAAGAGACTAGGCGTGTTACTGAAAGCATTTTCAACAGAATGTAGAACTTCATCAGCATCAGCTCCTATCACTGAGTACTGATGATCACAGGACCGCCAGAAAACAATAATAAACGTTGGCAGGCAGCGAAACAGAAATGTGGAGACGGAAATGGAGATACATTAGATATGTGCTGAGGAGAAACATAAGTGACGTCAAAATCCAGCCCCTTCAGGCTAATGTGAACAGGAAGTAATGGTTGGGGATTATAGGATAACATGGATGAGGTCATATGAAAACCTACTGGTGGTTTGGGGTTCCTGCAAAATGACTACTCAGAACCGCAGGCAATAGATATGCCAGTGGAGACCTATATTTCATTCGAAATGTAATGAATGACTTTATAATAATGACAAAAAGAGTTAATTTCACTCGTGAGCTTATTGTGAAGGTGATCTAAATAATGTAGAAATCAAGGCATTTTGCGATAGCTCATAAACACTTATATACGTTAAATATAAACAGAAACAGATTCTCATAGGTCTATAATCAGAATGAATATTCAAAATGCTTATTGTGGTTATTATTTCCATAAATTTGTATAATAATTACGTAACCTAGTACTAAATTAAAACTCTTCTTCCCTCTAAAAGGTTAACTGAAGAGTGAAAGCTCAATAATGAAGAACAAGCAAATTGTTTCTGCTACTTTGTCTGCGTACCAAATATCAAACCTACTCAAAGTAACCCTGATAAATACGTCGTTAATTGAATTAAAGTTTCTCATTATCTCCAGTATTTTTTCAGTTGAAATGGTTATTGTCACAGTACTACTTCACTAGTGAGTTTCGATTTGAAAGCTACTAATGCAATATGTTTAGTTTTGATTTCAAGATGGTAATCAGAGAGAAATACTGGCTGACATATGTTCTAATGTAAGTGATAATCATTGATATAGTGAGAATATACGCAAAGACGTTTGCCTAACGTTTCGTTAGAAATCCAGTGACCAAGTCAGTAAATGGTGTTTTCACTGCATGTTTTGAAAGTTAATAGCACGTATCATTTTTGAAGCTGTGATCAATAAACTGGTATTATATTTGTAAACAGAGAGTGTTTGAGTTTGATATGTGTTAAACTTGGGCACTGTGATAGTATAAAGATTCACATAAATGTTTTTGTACATTTCAAACGGTTAAATAACATTATTAAATACTAATGACGTTTCGTACACTATTTATTGTTTGTAGTCATATCATGTGTAACTTAACAACTTTGAAACTCAAATTACATAGTTCTTATTCCTCCCTTCCATTTGTCATATGGTAGTTAGAGATTTCCAGATGTACCAGAACAGCGTCGAATAGTTTCTACTGAATGTATTCTCAGCTAACTGGATAAATTACGCATCTGTTATGAGTCGCTCAACTCTGAGTTATTAAATAAGATCCTTAAAGTGAAATCTTTTCCCTTCTTATTTGCTGTTATATTTAATTGCATGTAACGCTATCAGTGAGATATTCACTGATTTATCTCTTTTGGATCTACTCATCTAGGTTTTGATAAGTCTTTATGTTCTGCTAAGCTAATTAACACTGGCATAACTCTCTAACTCATGTTCTCTACCGGAGAGTCAGTGAATGTCATCAAATAAATTGAATTATTTTATCTAAAGGGGACAACAAGGTTAGCCACTATAACCTATTCGCAAATTAGTTCACACGTTTGAATATATCTTTTATTGACGTCTTATTTTTCAAAGGACCTGTCTTTGTATGGTGGCACTAATGATGTTTCAAATATCCGTGTGTTGATGTTATTATCTTTCTTTTATTGTTGGTCAATCGTTTCTTCCTAATTATTCAGATTATTTTTATTCATATTCTTGACACACTCTGATAAACTTATCAGGGTAATTATTAACTGTTAAAGTTTCTCTTTGAACTCTTAACTTTTGAAGTGGTTTTTCTTTGCTACTTTTTAGCTGGTGTGCCCCATTACTTAAACATCGGTGCGTCGGTGGCACAGTGGTTAGGACTCTCGCTTACCATGCACATGGTCTGAGGTTCTATCCCCTGCCGACGTACACCTGATGTCTATGACCGGCCTGCAAAATTAGGGATACCGATATCCATGCTGAAAATTCCACACTTGTACCAAAAATACAGTGTGGAATCAAGCTGTAATAAAAAAAATGACATTCTATTTTTACTGAATTGGATTAGAGTGAGCTGGAAGGCAAATATAGATTTGAATTTATGGACGTTTTCGTAAACAGTAGTTTTTGACTTCCTACCACGCTTCTCTCCAAGACTGCCATTGCAACTACCAAGATTTTACTACCTTTACTAATCCTAATTTGATAGACTCAATAAACACATTATTATAGAATAATATTTAAATCTGTTTGATGTTAAACGGTAAAAGGCAAAAATTTCAAGGAAAGTTTACTTCACTTGTTGTTTTCATTTTAAGCGGTTGCTCCGTTCTGTCCTCGCTTTTAATAGCCTTTGTACATGGTTTGCGAGCAAAATTTCCAGCTAATTACATAATACTGTTTCTTAACGTAAGTCAAGTTATTGATATACTTTTTTTGTGTTTAAGCAAAAATCACCTTTGAAGTAAAAGGTAGTCATTGTGCCTCATATCTGAGCAAAGAATTAGGACGTCTGTACAATAAGTACACATTGTGAACACCTTCGGTTTGTATTATCCCACACAATCTTACGCATAAATATTCTTCACAAACTGCATAAAGATACACTATCACTTATGCAAAACAGCATCGGTTTCTACCCAAAATTACTCAACAGCTGAAAGTCATCCATCTTTGTATGAGGTGCTTATGGCATAAGAATGCCAGAATTACGTTGTAAAATTAGAGTAACCGTTCGCTAGTGGACGGTAGACTAAATCAGAATCCAGGTTTCTTTTATATGATAGTGTTTAACTGGATACACCTGCTTTCTAAGAAAATACCCATGTTACTGCTGGGACTCGAGCACATTCCCATCCTTTCGAACGCCACTAGATCACTGGATGACAGGAACCATCACTTGTACAGTGTATACTCGAAACAGTGTTTTTATCTCAAGACTGTCTTTAGGTGGACGTACTAGATGTCAGTATATCTACAGAGACTGGGCATTTAAGTCCTATGTGATAAAATAGAGTGAAACTGAAAGTGGCTTCAGTAAATCAATATGTAGAGTGAAGTCAGTGATGAACTTCTCCAGCTATCCATCTCGATTGTCAACTTCAGTGCCAACACACCTTTCACTTTCTGGATACGCATCCACATATAATTATCTATATAAATTAATACAGGATTCATAAAGAGACAGTGTTATACAATGATAGGCTCTACAAACTAACATCCAAAAGATAATGGTTAAATGACAGATATTATCACGTAAATAAACTGAATTTTAGATATGTTACCACAAGGAGCACCCTACAGAAACTCAAGTGGCAAAATATGCCTATGCCTTGAAGTTGCAACACTATTGTCAAGAATGCAAATAGTTTGAAAATTCTTATGACACACTTCGTGACTTCGTACAATTTGTTCAGGAATTTGTTTCTACAATCTGATAAAAAGCAGTGAGTTGTTCATTATTGTAAAGGGTGTGAGTCTTGGTAACCATTCCATTTTTTTGTAAACTTTAGACACTTCTACTTTGTTACGCATTCATACCACCCATACTGGAGATTGAAATCACATATATTTTGGTGTCTTATTTCATTTCGGGAGTGATTCTATATACCAGTATACTTTTGGGAACGCGAATCAAGAAGAAGTTTTTCTATCGTTGGTTTGTGTATTTACTAGTTAGTTGGGTTGTGGCATCATGTCTTACCTCAATTATTCTATATTATTTGCAGTTAAAAGAGGTAAGTGTGTGTTGTAGTCATATCTTACAACCGATAACAGATGAAATATATATATTCAAATGGTTATCCTTATTACTGATTCCTTATCTAGTTGAGACTTTGAATGATGTTATGGACAGATTGGTCACTGAAGCGAATAACCACTAAAACACTTATGCCCAATAACCCCTGCAACAGTGGAGATATTTATTAATAATTAGGAATATACAACTCTAAGAATGTTTAATAATGTACCTTGGTTAAGATTAATATACGTGAATGACATATTCACTGTGTTGAAATCTGAAAATATCCCTTATTTCTTCACACGTAGACTCCGTGGTAGGTAAAGCCTACTTCAATTTAAAGTTGATAAATGAGCAGGGTGAGGTTACTATGGTAAAGCTGAAAATAGAATGAAAACAAGATAATTATTGACATAAGAGTATCTATAGGAGACTGTAATAATCTCATAGGTACTTAAACTTTGAATCACTCGATTCAAAATTGGTAAGACCAAGTTTAGTTAATTTTTTATATGGTCGAGGTAGATGCCGCACTGACAAGGTAGCAGGCTCAAATAATGAAATGCAAAATATAGTGATAGGATTAATGGTGAACAAGTTCTCATCAGATTATTTTTGAAAATGTATAAAAGCCCATAGGAATAATGAGGCTAGTAGTGTAAATAATAAGGAATTCAGAGCCTTGGTAGTATCTTCATATGAGAAGGGAACAATAGAAATCCTACCTAGATTTCTTAGTTATGATTAATTAAGTGTAGCACTTAAACCAAGCAGAAGATAAGAAATTTAGCTAAAGCCAGATTGACTAACTTTACCAAGTGAAATAATCCGGAAACAAAACTCAGTCACTGCAATGCATTCACTTTCAGGATTTCATCGTGAACTGACATTAGTTAGAGAACCATTGGAAAACCTGGGAGCACTGGACAGCTGTTTTGTCCTAGTTTGGGACTCTTCATCAATACGCACCCACCGGGATTCGAACCCAGGACCTTCTGGTCACAATTCGTGCTCGCATTACGCATTAGAAATGGATATCGTGAGGTGATGAAACAAGTAAGTCACCCAATCTATTTTCGCCTAATCATTAACAAATATGAGCAACTGGAACGGTGCGAGGCCCGATAGGATAAATGGAAAAAAGCGATGAAAAACAGAGGAGAGCATTCTAGTAACTCTTACGAATAAAATGATATTCTTACTAGCAATAATATTCGTCCAAATTATCATCCACTTGTTGCTACTGTGTCATTATGTGTGTCGTATTAAACGAACTCATATGGTACGAAATTTTAATTTACTTACTCCACCTAGCTCACTAAGCAACTACTCTTCATAGAATCAATTTCGAATCCAAATTTATCAAAAATTATAATAATGCGAATGTCACCATCAGAAAAATAAATGTTCCACTATCTAACTAAAAATCTATCATTATATCGGAGATTTGAAATCATTCTTGACAGGTGATTCGTAGTAAATTAATTATGATTTCAATTAAATCTCAAAAATGTGCTTAATGTTTACACTCCCAAAACTATTCAGTGAATTAGAAGGACACTAAAATGTAGCTTTGAAGGTGCCGAAATAATACATGAAATTACAAAGTGTAGTGAACATTGCACTAAAAATCTAACATCGACAAAACTTTGTTTTATATTATGATTCTGTTGTAGGTGCTATATCACTTCATGGGAGCTGTATTTATTCCGTTCCTTATAGCGGTAGGTGAACATAACATTTTCATGACTTCCATTGAAATGTTTACTTTTTGACTTAAATTTTAACAAAAGGTCAGTCTCAATTAACCTTTGTCTAACCATGAATAGCTGTTCTAATTAAACGTCATCTTAGTAAACTTAGATTTTAAACGTAGGGAAGAATTCCTCTATCACCGCTGTGTCACAATGAAGATAGTAATGTTTAACACAAGCTAAATGCCTCATCGGTATTCCTTAGGAAACATCTGTATGAACAAACCGAGCACTAGCGTCATCAGCGAACCGTGATTCTACAGTCAGTAGTGATAAATGTTGTTCAGGAGACTATCCTTCAGTACTAGCCAGATGGATTTCTTCAAGTCGTTTGAAAGATGGTAATACCGTCCATGATTTACAAATATCACAAATACATTGCATGCAACTTTACAGCCGAAATGAATTAGCAACACCACTGAAAAAATTGTAATTGCCTTTCATTATGATTTCGTGTCGAGTATTCTTTCGATTACTGGAAATTTTATTTCTTTGGTCAACAAAATGTTTTGGTAGCTTTCATTACAGTATTTGGTGATTCGGCTTAGATATTCATACCTGGTTTGTTTTCAGTAATGTACTTCTAACAGTTCGCCGAGTTTTCGTATGTATGTGGACAGTACTACAATTATTACACAGGGCTTCTTATGTTTGGTTTAAATCAGCGAAAATACCTAAGTCAAGAAAAAAATAAGAGATTCAGCGAAGAAAATTTTTTATTATCGACGAAATCATCTTCATCTACGACTATACAGCCCCTGAAGATGATTCCGTCGATAGAGAAAATTTTTTCGCTGAATCTGTCTTTTATTTTTGGTTTAATTTAACTTATGCTTCCAGATTATTGACTACATTTAACCGAAATGCTTGATCTCTCTTGATTTGTCGGCTGTTACGACGAATGCCATAATGATGTTTGAAGATTAACATGACAACATTGTTTGGTCATCAGCAATGGAATCCAGGATGCACATTTCTTCTTATTTGGCCTTGTTGACTTTCACGACCAAGTCATCATCTACAGTAATGGTAGTGACTAGGACAGCTAGTTTATATGATTATTCGGAATATATGCTTATTAGAACTCTTTCGTCAAAGCCAGTATTGAAAAAGCAAGACAGGGATTCATTACCTACAGATCTGGGCGAATATCTGTAGCTATATATAGAGGGAACAAGACCTTAAATTTTCAAAACATATCAGATCAAAGCTTCTATATGTCGGAGACTTGGCACACGTCACTGGAAGGAGTTCCAGTGGACTGGAGACTTTCCTCAGTAGTTGCTTTCAGTCCATATTGTGGACTACATGGTTGTTTGTGATGGAAAAAGCAACAAGTACTTTTGACAGACAAGCAACACATAACTCAGTGCCTAATGTACATGAAAAAGTAAATGGTGATGGAATACGCATTATCTGGGGAGACCATCGAGGGATATCATAGGCCATTACCTCTAGTGGAGACCGCTGAATGGAAAACATCGAGTCAGGAATGCGACGAAGTCATAGAGAAGACCATGTAAAGGCGAAACGAAAACTTCTCAGCAATTGTGAAACAAGCTGCATGAGATGTCAGAAAATTGAGGGCAGTGGAGTTGTATCGCTGAATCACTCCGTTCCACTCGAAATGCAAAGATCGAATGGTATAATGTTAGAATGTCTTTACAATTAATTAAGTTCAGCTTAAGTTTCATTACAATTCTGCTCAGAGTTCATTTTAAGTTTTTCTAAACCAAATATTGTGTATGATTTCATTTTATTCCTCTTTTTAGCTCCTCCTGCGTATTGGACAGCTGTTAGTGATGGAGCATTCAGAACGCATGTTTGGCTCTCATTTTATATTGGGTTCACTTGCATTGACATTCATATTTCTGATGTTGTTTTATTCAGTCGCTATTCATTTCTGTTCTTTCAAAAATTCTTCTGATAAAAAGGATTCACTTTTCTCATTTTTATTATCGGATAGTATCCCACTTTTTTAACCACATTTCCACATTCATCTAGTTGTCATGTGAATCATTTAAAAGTTGTATCAGTATTTACAAACATAATAATTATACATTGAGAATTTCGATGCTTCTGAAAATCATTCCTGTAACTAAACAAAACAGTCGATTTGTATTCTTTATTTCTACCAGAATAATGTGCATCAATTTCCCAGTCTGAAACTTATATCCCATCACTCTGTGAAATGCTAATTTAATAACATCATTTAGAATTGCGTACACTTTAGACAGGAAGATGAATCTGTTGATGTTATACATGAACATTTTCGGATATTAGTTGTCGAATGTGTGATCCTTCTCTTGGTGATCTTTCTCACAACTTCCTCTAACACTGATCAGTTTCTACATGCTGATTCCTATAGTTTGTGAAACTTCGTTTTCTTCAATATGAAGAGTAATCAGATTTTCAAGAGTTAATATGTATTAATGATGCCATTGTCTCTAATAACAATATGAGCAGTAGGAGAACTTAACAGCTGTTTAGTTCACCGACAACTAATGTTTAGCATCTCGTCATTGCTATACCTCTAAATGTTGACAACCGTCTTACTTCTTCAGTATTCTGGGGAATTTTAAGAATTAATTTCAAAATTCTTTTGCTGTCTTCACTGTTACAGCTGCAAAATAGGTATTTTGATTAGCTTTCTAGAAATTATTATGAGTAAGCAATCATATTGATGAGTATCTTAAGACTGCTTCTCTGAATGTTAAGGAACAGAGAAGAAAACTGCTAGCCCACCTTGAACATTGCTGGATGGTAAAACAAACAACAGACGTACGATGATCACTGTAGATTGTCAACCACTCGTATTGTTCTAATAGCAATGAGGAAAGAAGTGAAACAACCCATCACCTCTTATCATCTTCCAAAGGTATTTGCAGAGCTACTTCAGGTCATCACATTCACAAGTGTGTCAAAGACAGCAAGTTGAATATAGCAGTAATTTTACTTAATGATAGTTTTTGCAAATTATTAGTGATTAAATTGTTTGATAGGTACAAGTGACTAAACTGTGAATCCGAAAGCTACTCAGTGAATCCATTAGTAATGTCTATTCTGATTGAGTTGTCTACTGGTTCAAGCTCAATACCAGTATTGTTGCGTTATATGAATGACTTACTTTAAATAGCTAAATTAGTTTGAAAGCACACCACAAATCTGGTTAAGCGTTTGATAAACATTTGTGTATAATCAAGTTTATGTTCACAAGGAGCACTGTAAAAGATACACAGATGTTGCATTTTTGGCTATGTCATGAAATTACTTTAACGTTGTTAAGCACTACAAGAAGCTCAAAAATTCCTAAGAAACAGCACTTACATTCATATAAACTGCTCAAATCATTGTCTCTATGATCCGCTCAAAAAAAGTGAGTTGTTAATTAGCACGACTGGTAAGATATTCCGTAAACATTTTCAATTCCTTTTTGTTACTCATCCATAGCCTGTGTAATGAGAGTTGGGCTAACATTTATGTTGCTGTCCTATGTCTTCGCAACATTGATAGTATATGTCAGTCTACTTTGGGGAGCCCTAATCAAAACAAAATTTTTCTACAAGCAGTTTGTGTATTTTCTAGTCGGTTGGGTTTTGGCTTCATGTTTTATTTCAATTAGTTTATATTTTTTGGAGTCCACGAAAGTAAGTTTGTTTCTCTTAATAATACCTTACATTTCCTAACAGATGAGTATGTGTGTTTAATCAGTTATTCTGATCATCAATCCCTTGCTTTAGTGAGGTTTGAATGATTTCTAAATTAAATTAGTCATATTTTAACGCTCATAGCAATACCAGTGGAATATTTATCGCGATTAACTCCAGTAGTGGAAAAAATACTTACTAATAGTTCAGAATATAAAACTTCCAGAATGTTCACTACTGTTCCCAGGTTATAGTGGAGATATGTGGATGACATATGGTGTTCAAATTTGAAGACATTTTTAATTTCCAAGACATACATTCATTAGTAGATAGATTCCAGTACAATTCCGAGTTAGGAATGAGCAGGATGAGTTAGTTACCTTAGAGCTCAAAATGAAACGAAAACAAGATGACGGCTTAATTGCTAGTATCTATAGAATACTGTAATATTCTGATTGGTATTTAAACTTTAAATCATCCAGTTTAAAATCGGTAAAGGTAGATTCTGTTCTAGGAAATAAGAGGAGAAAAGATAAGGAATGTCTCTCAATGGATTCTCGAAAGCTAATAAAAGAGGGGAGAGGAGAATGGTGAAGCAGAAGATAAATCAATGCACAGATGAAGAAGAGAAGGAGAATCTAAGCTCAGTGTACACTGCACTGAATAAGGAAGTGAAGAAGAGTGTTAAAATAGACAAAAGACAAATCTCTGACACAGTAGCCGGCAACTGAAGCAGAATAGGCAGGCAGGTCGCAGCTAAAAGAGACCTGAGAACATTAAATCAGATAACCAAGTCTCTATCCGGGAATGAGTCAACCAGATATGGATACCTCTAAAAGATATTCAAAGGAATCTAATTACCAAGGACGAGTGGCGAACAAATAAATCAACGGGTTGATCACTTCAAATGACTTTTTAATCGACCACTATCAACATTACATCGGCTACAGTCTCTCCACTCAGGACTATGTGAGGTAGATTCACCAATAAGCGACAATGCTTCTAACACCATGAGACTTGAACCACATTATGTAAAGGTTAGTTCTTACCTTTGATAATTGTCGGTGATACACTTTAAAATTCTTTTGTAGTGAATTCCATCCAAAAATGGCCCAGTTAATGCTAATTAAATTCTGCAGTGATCTAATAATTTTCATTTTTGGTTCATATCATATACTATCAATGTATTCTCGTGTTTCAGAACAATTAGGTATGTATTTTGTATGAAATTTTATGTAAGAGTGAGTATAACCACCATTTGCCTGACTTTCTACAAATTTCACCTCAAGAAAATAATTATCTTATAAAATAGCTTAATCAGTGAGTACACTTTCTGAAGTTTTCAGAGTGCGAGAGCTCACTTCGTCTCTTCTCTGTTATTTTGCGATCAGAAAACTATCATGAATGCATAGTAATTCATAGTTATTTGAACAAGAAGTATAGATATAAACATATATATATATATATATATATATATATCAGTACTCATAATTCGGCTTGTCGGTTGTTGCTTAGACACAATAATTCCATTCATTTGCTTTGTGAATTCGAAAAGTGATTCGTGCATGCACAAAAGTTTTGTATAAAGCAAAGGAATAAGTAAGCAATAAAAGGCTTTCTCTAAGGAATTAGGGGGCTTGAAATAGATTTGCAACTAATAGTGTTCTCTGAGCTGGTTGGTTTAGTTGCGGAGCTGTCATCACCTTTCTGGACGACATCTTCAGTGCAGTATTTAGAAATAGACTTTAATATTATAAGAAGCCGGTACTCTTTGAAGTTTATCTGTGTTAAAAAGTATTCTTTCTCAGCTTTCTTAATGATGATAAATGTGTCATCCACATATCTCAACAGCATTCTAGAATGACAACTAAAACTTGTCAATTTGTGTAAAATATTTGACTGTATATTTTGATAATTAATAAAATCTGAATAATTCTACTGTGGATTACACAGAGAAAAGTTCAGAAATATCTTGTTTTGATATTTTCTTAAACAACCCGGGATCATTTTAAATTATTTTTAATGAATCAATCTGATTTGGCACTCATATTATTCCAGGAAATTCGTAACCTCTACGGTCTGGAAACTAATAGTAGCAATTCTAGAACATTTGAATTCCCTTTACTATATCTCCTTTTTCTGAAGTCTGCAATGTCGTATTCATGCCAGGAAATCTGTCCTTCAACGTCAGATGACAAGAATTACCATTGAATAACCTCTAATGATGAATTTAAATTTCAGTAGAATTCTCAGATAAAAATTTGCTAGCATGGCTAGCTAAACAACAGCTGAAAAGCTGCGAAACTTACGCCATAATGTGCGCTCATCCAGTGACGTCACTCTGGTCACTAATTAGAAGCATTTTTCTCTGTTCTTTGTTGAAGTCAACATTGTACAAATGCTTCAACCAGTGCTTTCAATGTGAAAACCAAAGTTCTATTGTGCTACTATTGTCCTTAGTTGAATACATATTTTAAGGTACAAAGTTTCCAAAATGTCCACATAATTATTTCACTGCTACTGTGATTTCTCATCGCATTCATTAGTGAATATATCATAAACCTTGCAGCGTCGACGTCTTATTTCAATTTTACTACCGAAATGATGAAATCTAAACATGTTAACGTGTTTTTTCTATTGACTGATGGAAAACTCCCCTGCTCATTGTTCCGATAATTAGATATTTAACTTTCCTTAGATCTCATTAGAAATAGACTGATGAATGTACATGTTATCATGCAGAAGATGGCGCATATTTGTCCAGATTTGACTACAGATACATTAGTTGAAAACATTAAATTCTGCAAGAAGAGCCATTCATTCTCCACAGGATAACTCATATTCATTTTCTATCTATCCGAATAAAAGTCTGATTCGACAAAGTCACAAGTCATTCTCATCACAGGATGTGAGGCTTTTCAATCGCCTACACTGAAACACATACCAACAGAGACACCTAACTCATCCTAATGAACTCTCTCAATGTTTATAATTGTGTTATGTCACACGTTTGATTTGCCTATCATCTTTTCGAATGAATGTTTCATCAACTAGGCTTGGCAGCTGCTGACACATTCGATAGCAAGTGATATGTTTCAAGGCCGAAATAATTTTGGTTTATCTACACCACCTCTACATGTTGTAACTCTGCGAAATGCCCTACATGATACATCTTTATTAATTTTAGTAGATGGTTACTAAGACATAAGTGATACCGTGGTTTGTTCAAGTAAAAAAGGAAAATGTATTATAATACCAGGGTTTATTATGTCCTTATATTATTGCTTTATACTCGACAAATTATAACCACACATCGACAAATTGAAACATGAATCCTGCATAACACAAAGTGATTAGTATCCAGTGAAATATTGAAGCTAGAATATAGTCGTTCATAGAGTAGGATATATGTCTGTTTCCTATGAGCATCTGGTATTCAATCACACTCAACTACAAAATAAGGAAAAATATCAATAAGAAAAACTCTGTGACGGATAAATTTGCACGTAAATTATCATAACACTTTAATTTCTACTGTCTAATTCAGTACTCTCTTCGAAGCACATACCAGAAGGAAATCAACGAGTTTTGAAAAGACACATTAAACTTCTGACGCATTTCCAGACATTTTCAAACAGCAATTTATACATCATCATCGTGGTGGTATTAATAATTCTGAAGCATGAAGTGTAGCTTTTCATGTTAACCCTTTTTAACAATATTTCCTGGTTAATGATCAAGCTGTTTTCGTTAAAATAACTCAGGAATTCCATTCATCATTCAACACGGTTTGAAAGAATCCAAGAAACTAATCTTACAATGGTTTATATCTGAGAACGTGTCCTCTTCACAGGTAAAACTGTTATTCTTTCTAAATCGTAAATGATGATGAATCCTACGTATACTGTTCGGTCCGGCACAAAAAGATGCTTTCCCTTTACTTTGTCTGTCAATACAAACTAACTGAACTAGGTACATGAGCTGCACTGGAACAAATTAGAATTGTGTAATTTATGATATAAGCGTTTAAAGTTCTTTCTTATCATATTTTTCTAATATTCTGAAGTACTTATATTTACATATTATAGAATGAATAAACAAAGGAGAACATACACGAATACTGACTAGACTTACGGGAACAATAATAGCTTGAACGAAAAGTGTGATGATATGTTGCACAACCTGAAATAAACGAGTATGTGCATTTTGAAACGATGAATGCTAAATCATGTTATACTTAGTCTGTACATCAAGATTATTTAGTACTTTGTCTATTGTTAGAAGTCCACATCTTGATTTACTTTACAAATTCCTGTGGTATGAAGATAAATATAGAAAGAAACAGACGTCAAACGTTCAGTGTTTCTCACGAAGAATTTCAGCTTAATATTATCGAATCATCTTAGTGTAGACGTCGTCACGAACCAACATCATTTTAAGATGACTGAAAACTAGGGAGCATTGTACAGTCGTTTGGATCCACTTTGGAACTTTTCAGCAGCAACTATCTACAATCCCAACAGGGATCTAATCCAGGACCCTTAGGCTAAGAGATCGAGCCCATTACCACTCAGCCAATTGGACCGATAATCATTGGTTCCTGAGTTCTACCATAATTTCCGCTTGATTTATATGACAGCACTGATCATATTCACCTTAGTACATGAACGCCTTTATTAGTTGGCTTTATATTACCAGGATAAATAACTACGAGTTAGTTTTTTTCGCAAAGGCAAGAGGTATAATCCAAGGTTATAGTTTCATCCTAACTTTGAGTCGTTGTCAAGATGTAACTACTCGCCAATAAATGATGGTATTCACAGTAACACTCCAAACCAGATCTCATTAATTGAAATGCCGAAACATTATCTTCTAAACTTCTGACCATCGTAAACAGGACGACATCCACAATCTGGATTCTACTACTATTAACATAGAAACGAGTGACATTGAAATTTAACTTCATTACACCTTTTATAGATGTCATCCAAGGACCCTTCTACTGCTGATATACATTCGGAGGAAAGAAAATTAATCTCCACGATAGGTAGTTAAACATGTTACCCTAGTTTATTGATTATACACTAACCAATACTTACCCAATCAAGTTGCAGACCATACAGAATACCACAGACAATAAATCCAACAATGATAACGCATCCACAATAAATGACGAATAAATTAAGCCTCTTCGTCAAATCTTCTTCAATTTGTAGGCCGAATAAATACGACACAAATGATAAACTGATAGCAATTATCCAACTTATGAATATGAACATTCCATGCGTAAAAATTGAAAGGCAGGTTATCACTCCATCGAAGCTGATTGTCTTCAAGACAGAATTTATAGAAAATGTTATTGAAAATATGATTTCTTTGAATGGTAAGTTAATTTTGTGAATTTGGTAAATTTTTAACGTGTATTTTAAAGTATTTTTGTTTTAAAGCTTTCCCTAGTTTGTGAATTTGACTTGATTAATCTCAGTCATCATTATTGAAACATATTCCAGCTTGAGTAAAACATCAAAATAATCTTGCATTTGGTGTTTGTTACTTACAAAATGACAGCAGTCCCGTTTGTGATTCGGAAGCACTAGGGTTCCATATTTCAGTACATGTTACAGTGTGTTCGGGGTCTTACATAATGTCCACATATACTGAAGGGAAGGAATAGCTCAGTTGGTTGGTTATCCTGCTGTTGGATTCTGTAGGCTGGACGGTTTGGTTGCGAAGCCTCTGGAGAATATCCTTAGTGAATTTACACAAATTAGTATTTGTCTGCAATTTTATACTGGTAAAGTTAATGAGTGGTGACATATTCGTCTAGTGGCCTGAAAGTCTTAATCTTGGTTACTAGTGTAGTCATAGATTCAAACTGCTGGAGAGTTCTGAAGTGAAACGAAACATTTGTCCAGTACACCGCGGCTATTAAAGGTTGTCTAAGTGAAATCGGTTTCATGATAAAACCTAACTTGAGGTCAATACAGTAATAATAAGAATATAGTCAAAATACGAATAAAAGCTATAACAAAATAATGAGAAGTAACCTGTCAACTAAAACTTCCTCAAAACAGTTGCATTGTGTGTGTGATGTCATCTCCTACACATCTACGTCCGATGTTGTATCTGAAATCCACAATTTACTTTAAATTATGCACTTAGACTGAACCAATAATTCTCAGTCTCTAGAATCACGATCAGGACCCCTGTAAGTGTTTTGGCACTCGTTGTTGAGTAAGTAATAATGAATTTTAATGTAATTCCATTTATCTCTGCTGAAAGCTGTACGCGCCAGAAACCAAAGATTAGACAATTTCAGCATCCACAGATATCGTATTGTAAGTTCATGGATAGGAATTAGTCTGTTGGTCATATATAAATGCCACTTATATGGAGACAGTGAATACATAAAAACTGTCAGCAAACCGAAAAACATATAAACATATTAGTTTATGGGAAACTAAGTATGTGATTCTTATCATTCTCCTTACTCCACTTGATACATTAACTACCTAACTAGCATATACAATTAGTCAGCGGAATGGATAATCAGAATTCTAATTTGAAATTATACTAAATACTTTCACTTTCATATTGTACGTCAAATAATTAATAGAAGTCTAAAATCATATACCAAGAAGTCGAAATACCGAGAAAATGAGGAATAAAGTGTTCATAACTTACGAAGCCGATAAGTAGTAGGTAGTTGTATGGCTCCTTATGCTGAAGATCTCTTACGAGAAAAACCGTAAGTGTAATTCCAATTGACACAGCGCTGTTCAATAAAACACGGAAGATAAAAGACGCTTTCAACTGCACCTTCACCTTGTAAATACCAATTGAGAATTTAATGAAATGCCCTCTTTCACAGCTTTGTAAATTATTGTCTCATGTGACAACGAATTTACACGGAATTAAGTTTTCCGAAATGAGAAACTTGAAACATTCTGCAGAAACATTTGCCAGTACTCAAAGTGAAGCTGACTGAGACCTCCATGTTGACTAGTGAAATCAATTGCACCTGCCGAATACTCCCGTTGGGAGGTGAACGTCGCACCACTACGAGCTGACAGCTATACAAATCATGACATATTTTGATACCACGCAGCTTAGATGAAGATACCGGCTGATGATTCATTGCCTCTGTGTATCTAGGGTGTCATAAACTAGGACGAAACAGTTATCCAGAGATGACTGTCTCTCAATGGTTGTATCACCATTATCAGTCTGACTAAATCTACCCTGAAATTAACCAAAATCCTTGTCAATCAAAATTAGATCATATACATATATTTCCTTTGCTCATTTCTCCGTTGGAATTGAACATTAGAAAGGGTGGTCTGAGAATAAGATGGTCAATAATTATTCAACTGGGTTTTATGCAAAATAAAATACCGAATCCTAAACAATTTGTAAATAACAGGTGGCAAGCAGGTATACAACTGAAAAATCATCCAATGATAATTAATCACTTCTTGTAAGCAGTTGCATCGCTGGATAGGAATCCAAAAAAATAACGATAACTTGTTGGTTCCGGCTAGAAGTGAAATCCAAGACTCATGCTTCTTCCTGTCACTCATCAGTAGCCCAGTAGATGATGCATCAGTGTCTGGAACAATTGGTTCTGGCTTCGAATCTCTGTGAGAAAAAATTACTCCCTGGAGAGCCGCAAATAGAACGAAATGCGCTCTCTGGATTCCAGTACTATCCACTACCAGTGAAGTAACATCTTGCTAATCGTAACCATTGTCAAAGTAGCTGTACTGTGACTCAGCATGTCATCAGAAACTGAGCAGTTAGATCCATTACAAATGTTTCGACAGGAAGTTCAAGATATCTCCAACCAAAGTTAATAATACAATTCTTTTTCATATAGTGAATTTATAAATGAACTAATTTCGCTAATAGAATTTCAATTGTCTTGCAGACATCAAAAGCAGGATTTACTAAATGCTTCTGAGTATGTGCATGTGAAAATTATGCTGAATTCACAATCCTTATGAATCAGGCCGTAAACTGATAGACAATTCAGAACGGCTACAAGAAAAACAAACCTCATCAACATGTGACAGGTTTTCAATAGTTGAATTTGCATGTTAAGGTGAAGAAACCATGGAAGTAGTGAAAACTGACCAACTGATAGCAAGGAAATCACTATAAAGACTATGCAGCTCACATTGAAATACCATAAATTGCCATCTTAAAATAGTGAGTATTATAAATGCATTAGGAAAGTTAACTTCACTAACCTGAAGAAAAAGCTCATCCATATGTTTTGATAGAAATAAGTAAGCACCGAAGATCTGGATTATGAAAATGGAATGTTTATCAAAATTCGACTCACATTGACTCAACTATGGCAATCGTAAATATGGTGAAAAATATTTGCGTCATAACAGTCACGAACACCTGACAAAGACAATAATATCTACTTTTCATTTTTACCTTTGCAATGAATCGGTTCCGTCTTCTGTTCAGCGCACTACTCACTTTGTTAGGCGATTTATTCACCATCTTCATATTCCCCATGCTGTTAATGAGCCTTTTTATACCCTATAATGAAAATGGAAGCAAAAACATTGTAAACTTATTAGGTTATTGGAGAAATAACATTTTTTCGTTATTAGGTCATGAAGTAATGAATGACATGTTTGTGCTTAAATAAGACTTCCCATCAATAGTAATGCACCACTGATAGATCTAGTTGTCAGACAAATGACTGGACAAGCAGGTGGCTGGAGACCGATTAAAAGACGACATTTACTTGTGTTAGGCAATTTATGTTTATTTCTCTTTCTCACTGAGAAGTGCTTATGAAGAATAAACTGAGTGCTATCAATACTTTTTTTATCTTTGTGCAAAGTAGAACTAAAATAAATACCTGTCTTGAGTTCACTTTAAACATCCTCAGGTTTGTTTAGCCTACAAATGCGTAAACTCTAACATCCGTGCATAGTCACTCATTATCGAAGTTCCAACCTCCATTTACTTTTGCAAAGTCCTGGTTTTTAATACTCCAAAAGGTTAAGAGCTTCATCTCATGATTTTGTCGTCTATCCGTGGCATCAACAACTTTTACTCTGAATATTTCAGGTTCATATAGAATTGGGAACAAAAAGAATCATTATAAAGAGAATTAAAAGTGAATGCAGCTCTGTATTCAAAACTACTTCTTAGTAGTCAGTTATTGAAAAACTACCTCAAAGGAATTCTAGTCTGAATAATAAACCATGATAACTAATTTAATTTAAATAACTTGTTACAAACCTTTGATTCGTTCAGTGTGATACATTTATCGTATACAATAAAAGAATGAAGATGCACAAATAAATCGAGTCTATTCAAGGGTCTGCAACACGACTTATAGACAGTTGTTACTTCAGAGATAATAACAGATATACACACTAGCTAGATCAAAGTCTGAATTTTGTGATGACTTCTTTATTAACATCAATAGTATGAGAGTATCAAACAACACGTCTATTTAGTCCCAGTTTCTGCGTGCGTATGTGTGTGTGAGATAAAATAAAATCGAATGTCAAATGATAAAAAGACTTTTATAACAGAATGAGGATAAGAATTATGTTGACAGTAGATGTCTCTTCATCAGGGTTGATGACATCTTCAGTGGTATTATGTGATCGAAATTACGGCTACCAGTAAACGTTAACGCGTCGGTGGCATAGCGGTTAGGACGCTCACCGACCATGCACATGGTCCGGGGTTCGATCCCCGACCGACGCACTGCTTTACCTTGCTAAGCCAGAAATAATGCTGGTAAAGAGGAAAGGTTGGGCATGAGGGTAGCAACCGAATCTTGTAACATTAAACACTGCTACAGAAATTTTAAGCCACTAGCTTGAAGCCCTATGTTCCAATGGGAAACGTGAAGGAAAAAAATTGAACGTTAACAGAATTATCAACACATCTCTAAAGATAACCAGACACAGTCGAGTTAATATGGAGGGGTTGCGCTTTCATCGATAAATCCACAAACCCATTATTCCACAAAATTAGCTTGCAAAGTATTATTTGGAAGGCCAATGTAAGCTATGCAATCGAAACCGCTGAACCCGAAAAATACCTACACTTATAAGACCGACAAACGTTTTTATTGCAAATAAGCATAGTGCACATAGAAAAAGCACTGGATAAGTGAATCATCCTAGTTTGAGTCCTTCTAGCATTTAAGTATGACAAAAGCCTCATCCAATTTTCAAAGATCTTTAATTTGTCCTTTTAGTTTTGTCACTTAGTGTCCAAAATATTTAAAAGAAATCAGTCCTCATTGAAAATTACAACTCTTTAACACAAACAATAGTTCATTCATTCTGTATCTATAGTGGTTATGTGTGGTATTACAAAATTAGACAGAATACCTTACATTTATTCCTCCCCATGTTATTTATGAGGAAAACCCCAGCAATGAATGAGAAAGGAAACAGTTTAGCTAAAAACAAAAGCGTATAAGTGAGTATATTGAAATGAAGATAAAATCGCACATATTAAATCCTGAGAAAATGTCAGGAAAAATGGAATGACAAGAATGTTGTTAGATCTACTAATTAGTAATGAGCAACATAGTCATAAGAAGCTAAAAGACTGAGAAGGCAAACATTTTGGAAATGTTAAAACAGAGTTATAATATCCGTCAGCCGAAATCATTTAAATATTATGTTCTAAATCATTGGTTCCTTTGATCTGGATATATATGATACATGGAATCCCCCGACAGTACTCATCATTTGTGTGGAAATCTCAATGATTTGAGATTTTTCAAATGAAAATATCTCAGCTTTTATTTTATATTTATTCAGGATTTCTTCCTTACCATATTTCCATAAATTATCTAACTGACTAATTTTTAGCTTCTCTGTCTAGAGCTTCTGACGAATTCTTATAATGTCATCTTAAGTACCACTGAAATTATTCACCGTTGAAACTAAACTGGCTGAAACTCCTCAATAAGTTGACATTAAATTTACTTGGAAATGATTTAAGATGGTATTTGTAAGTGGTAGCACTCAGACTTCATGATCTAATGATGAAGCATGCAACATAATGTTATGCATTACTTTTAGGGTCTTCCGTATTGTCTGATTCATCGAAGACCTTATGCCTAAAGTATTGAGGATTTGTAACTAATTTGAGGTAGTTTTATAGTTTTCGATGCGATAAACTACTCTTTTCAACTCTAGTTTTACTCACTGCAATTCTGATGGTAATATAATTGTGGTGATTGACTATTTCTATCTCTGTATTGTTTAAATACTTACTGTTGATCGTTAATATTTCTTATATGAATTGCATAATAGTTCCGCTAAATACAAATTCCTGAATTCCGCCCTCTCTGTGTTTTATTTGGATTCTTGTAATTCGGTCATCTCGAAATACTAATACTACGATTACAAATAATTACTACAATATTACTGAGAAATTAACCCCACCCTGAGACATTATTATGCAGTGATCCTTATTTGACTAGTGTCAGATTATATATTCTTTTCGATCCTCCTCGATGAGCACCATTAATACGAATTTATGCGTCTTCTGTAGTTGATACAAGTGAGAGTATTTCAATGCTTATACGAACAGCTTAAATGGCTACTTTTATAATGACATCTTAAGTAATGAAGCCGAGTGATTTTATGTTGGTCATTGATTAATAAACAAACTATGGTTCTATTAATACATTTCAGTCTTCTGCAAAAGAGAAACGATGGGCAACCTAGGTGTGTACACTGACAGAGACATCAGATTATCACAGTAAGTAGTTGATGGAACCAAACAAGCAAAGAAGACGCCATACTTGCCGATTGATTCTCCACGTTATTCTTCTTAACGACATTTCTACTGGAATAATTTAAACGCATATAATTTCGTATTTTGGAATATACACATAAGATCATAGGATTTCTTAAAAGGTCAGTTGCAGTGAAGGAAATGTTTTTCGACGAAATCATCAGCTAGGCTGTACTTACGTGCATTTATAATAAATGGGTGAGAAAGTTCTAGAAATTATTTCCGGTCGAACGTCAAATTCATAAAAGTACAAATTGTGAGTCGGTGGTATAGCGGTTAGGACACTCGCCGACCATGCACATGGTCCAGGATTCGGTTCCCGGCCGGTGCACTCCTTTACTTCACTCAGCCAGAAATAAAGCTGGGGAAGAGGAAAGGTTGGGCACGAGGCTAGCAACCCCATCCTGTAAAAATAAACACTGCTACAGAAACTTCAAGCGTCTAGTTAGAAGCCCTATGTTCCACTGGGAACGTGAAGGAAAAAAACAAAGTGTAACGAACAGGAAGATCGGATCAAAAGACACAGTAAGATAATAATTACTGAAAAACTTGACTGTTTTTGCAACTGGTGATTAAAAACGTAGTGGTAACAAAATAGACAGGTAGTTTGGATAAAAAGTAGTATTATTTTTAGGAATTAATAACGCAAAAATAACATAAATAAACAGGAAGGTTGGATAAGAAAGGTAATAGGATAACCAATGTTGACAGGACAGACTTTTTATGATGCCCATGGTAGGGACAACAGCTGGACGTAATTCTTTTTAATACATGGCGTGGAATTGAACTTCTGAATCGCCAGTGTACCCAAATCACTTACTTGAAACATGCGTTTATCAACAAACAAACTAAAGGAAATGTGATGTACTTAAACACTTTAAGTGTTAGATACTAAAGCGCGACTTAGTGAGCTAACTATGTTTTAAAGAGAGTTTTTGTATTCAAACGTCTTCTTAACATGAAATCTACTGAAAACTGTGTAAGAAGTTGTCGATTTACCTTTTTTATGAAAACAAAACACGTAGATCAGCGAAGAGTCTCTTTTCGGCGAATTCATTTTCTTAGCTGTACAATCGCAAATATATATGCATTGTTTTGTATGTATGTGTACATTAAGTTTGTCCAACAAAGTTACAATTGGTTAAGGTTACTTTTAACTAAACAAGTGGAGGATGGTAATACAGGTCAAGAAAATTAAGTGCTAATGAAACTAGGGTAGTAAAAAAATGATGAGTTGTCACAAACAGTTGTAATAATAATAGTGAGTTTTACTCAGGATGCACATAGAAACAAAGTAGATAATGCGAAACTATGTAAGAGATCTAAGTGGATACAAGAATTATAATTGCTTAAGGTTATTTTAACTAAACAGGTAAAGGTTGATAATATAAGTCAAGACCATTAAGTGCTAGGGTAGTAACAAAGGTGATGAGTCGTCACAAACAATTGTTAAAAGAAGTTATGCAAACACAATGAATCATGAATGTATAAGTTGCTTCTTCTGGATACAAAGTTGTAATGAATGTAATCCTTAATATCTTTATCGCCACTTCTCATAATATGTCCAGTGCCTTTGCGTATTTGAACAAAGGAATAACAAAAATTGATACAAAATAAAATAGGTACATTGTATTTCGCCACTTCTCGTCAACTGCGTAAAACCTGCAACATTTATTAAGGCAAGTTATACTACAGTTTTGTTCGTCATCAGGAATCATTCCTCCAATAAGGATTCTTATAAGAATATCATAGCGAAACAGAATATAAAGATGACAAGTTTTCTTAAAATACTACAATATGCATTTTTATAAAGGGGAAGTTCCTCGTAAAAAATAAGTTAATAAATAAACTTGTTGTTAGGGTGGTTGTAAAGCAGCAGCAAGTGCGTAATCAAAGATAATAAAATACAGGGAGTTAAACTCACAAGATGATGCTGAAATGATGTGATTAGAATTCAAAGAATCAAAAATTAAGTCTAAAATGAAATCTAGGCAGAAATAAGAGGGACAAATTATTGAATTGTGAAGAAAAAGAGGTACTGACGGGAGAGTTACCAGGGCAACTGAATTCCTCTATCGTATTTCTTTGGACTATATAAGTCAGGGCTCCAGTCATTTTGCTGCCATTGCTTCAGCGAATTGAAGCAGACCTATGGGGTTTTTTGTTTATTAATTACTTTGAATGCTTCCAATGCGTTCACCTGACATCCTGTGTGTATCACATGTTTGATAATTGACGAGTTCAAACTATTTCGTCCCTTTCACCGAAGGCTCTTTGGTACATGTTAAAAGAATCTGACATAGGCCATTCTTTCAGTTCACCCAATGTGACTGATCCATAGATGCACGCAAACTGATATAGAGACTTGGAAGTAACATATGAAAGGTGTCTGTCGATTTCTGACTGTGCCCACAGACAAGATGTTCAGAAGAGACAGACTAGTTTTGCTGCAAGATACGTCATGATCAGTGTTGCATCTAAAAGTTTATTTATTGTTCTCATAATATCTTCACGCATTTTGAGGTCAAGTTGACTGAAAGGCAGTTTTTCTAACTGGTAATTATATCTCGTAATTATAATTGTAATTATATCTGGATTCT